GAACGCGACGGCATTTTCCCCCAGGCCGGCAGCTCGTGGAAGGTGCGGCGACAGGGTGGTGCCGGGGGGGTTGGGGGGGGGGGGTGTTCTGGGAGGGGAGGGGGGGGACTGGGAGACTGGAGAACGGGGGTGGGGAGGGGGAGAATGGGGAGGGGTTAAGGGACTGAGACGGGTGGGGGAACCAGTGGAGAAAAGGGGTGGGATTTGGGATGTGAAATGCCGGGTTAGGCTTTTGCTTCGCGTATTGCGGGATGGGCTGCGTTTCTGTGTTTCTGTGGACCTGCGTTGCTGCGTTGCTGTGTTGCTGCCGGCCCATGTATCTGCCCTGTTTCTTGTTTGCAGCCTCGTTGTCATGCATGCGTGCACCATGCGAGCTTCCCATTGTTCCTGATCCCCTTTCACCCATCTCTTCCGTCCATCTCTTCCGTCCATCTCTTCCGTCCATCTCTTCCGTCCATCTCTTCCGTCCATCTCTTCCGTCCATCTCTTCCGTCCATCTCTTCCGTCCATCTCTTCCGTCCATCTCTTCCGTCCATCTCTTCCGTCCATCTCTTCCGTCCATCTCTTCCGTCCATCTCTTCCGTCCATCTCTTCTCTCCCATCGCCTTGCTTCATTCCAGTTCCGTCCTACGCCTCCTTGCTTCATCCCCATGTGCATGTGCTCTGCTACCCCATGCGCCCACACACCGCGGCTGGCAGGCGTTCAAGGAGATTCAGCTGCTGCTGATGAAGAACGCCGGGGCCACCGTGGGCGACGTTATGACGGCACACCCGCTGTGTGCACGAGCCATGACCAACATCGAGGATGCCGCCAGGTGAGACTCGAGAAGGGGTCCACAAACTGTGCAGTAAAAAGAAGAAGAAGAAAAACAACACACCTGCTGTGCGCACGAGGCATGACTGACGTTGAGGATGCGGCCAGGTGAGAGGGCGTGGAGGAGGGGATGGAAGATAAGTGGGGAGAGGGTGGAGTCTGAGGTTAAGATGGCACACTCGTGCGGCATAGTGAGTTAAGTGTTGTTGTCTGCACTCTTGTGGCGTTGACCTTAGTCGGTGCCGTGCGCCTTGTTTTGCTCGCCTGGTTCCACTTTTTATCGGTCCCACCGCCCTTAAGTGTCACTCTCCTCAAACGTCACACTTATAAATTCGTGCCCGGTTCTGCGTCTCCTTCCTTTCCTTTCTCCTGCCGTCTCTCCCTCCCTCTCCTCTGTGTGTGTGTGTGTTCACGTGCGTCACTGGTGCGTGCATGACTGAGTGCAGGGTGCTCATTGAGTCCAAGTTCCACCGCCTGCCAGTTGTAGATGAGAACGGCACTCTGGTCAGTGCTACCTGGCATCCCAACAAGGACCTTTCTTCCCCACCCCAACCTTCCGATTCATTCCTCACCCCCCTCCTCCCCCTCCCCGCCTCCCCTCTCCCCCTGGCGTCTTTTCTTCTGCAACTTCTTCTCCTCCTCCCCCTCCCCTTCCCCTTCCCCCCCCCTCCTCCACCCACTCGTCAGCCAAGCTCACTCCTCTCCCACCGTTTTGCATGCCATTCTATCCACGATTTGTCTGCCTAACCTGTTGTGCCCCTTCTGCTGCCGTCTGCCAACTCCGCTGCCATGCCATGTGCTCACTTGTGTCATCTCACGTTCTCACATAACCCTAAACCCTCCGTTCGCCTTCCCACCCTAAACCCAAAATTTATCTCCCCTCCCGTGGGTTCCCTCCAGATTGGGCTGCTGACGCGTGGCAATGTGGTGCGGGCGGCACTGATGATGAAACGCATGGCAGAGGGCAAGGGCATGGCGCCAACGGGCGGCAACTAGACACGTACATGCATGCATGCACCCCCATAGAAAACACAATTATACGAGCCGTAGCTGCGACCGCCTGTGCATGGTTGTGGGTTCCATGTGTGCGTGGGAGTGGATTCGGCATGGATCAAACCCACAAACAGTCCAGTTACCAAGCGGGCCGTTTTTCTAGGTCTCTCTGCTCTGCCCCGTGCCGTCTCTTTTTGTTTCTATATTTTCAGTTTTCTGCACAGCAGTGCTGCTGGGGCTGGCTGCTGTTCCCCATACTAGCACATTCATTGTCGTGTGCAGTGACGTGCTGCATGCGGTGCTGGGGTTAGCTGTATGACTCCGGTCCGGAGCCTGCCATCTTTACCGAAAGTATTCAGCAGTGCTGTTTGGGTGCACTGTCTTAGTGTGCTCTTGTATAGTGGGGATAGATAGCAGCAGCAAAGACTCTTCATTGATAATTTAAATGTCCTCCCTGCCTCCTTATCAATAGTGGTCCAAGTTGGTATGACCTACAGGTACACAGTTGACCGGAGTCAGAAATCAGCACATACTTAATTCAATTTATGTTACAAAAACTTACCGGTACAACAAAACAGGGATATACGGTACATGATATTTACAAGACCCTTCCTACCATCAATGCAACCCTCCAAGAGTGGCCAATGTCATGCTACACTGCCCAGTCATCCCATGCTCACTAAACCCTTGCTCTCTCAGCCATTACCCGAATCACCGCCACCCGAAAATTCACCTCACCTGTCTCCAAACTCTCCCCAAACGCCCCTAACCGGGTCTATCAGCACCACCCGGTGAGCTAACCTAGGACTCGAATCAAGGGGCAAGGTGGCTTCTTCTGAGTCGCCTCACCATCAGTCACTGCACGGTGAGCGTGTCGAGGAAGACGCGGTGAAAGTCAGGGTGAGTGAAGGGCGAGTAGTGGCCGTGGCCGTGCAGCAGGTGCAGGGACACGCATGGCAGCAGGTGCGCCAGCAGGTCAGACAGCAGCACTGGCACATCCTGGTCGTCCGTGCCCTGGGGGGTTGAGGGTGGGCGGGTGATGGAGGGGGTAGGAGGGGTGAGTGGGGTGAGTGGGGTGAGTAGGGTGAGCAGGGTGAGGAGGTGCGGATAGTGCGTATGGTGGGACTGGTGGCGGGGAGATTATGGCACATGGGCGGAGGACAGAGGAGAGAGGTGCGCGGGAGTGAAGAGCAGTGCAGGAATGTGGCGGAAAACACATGATGCAACAGACGAAAAGACATGATGCAACAGACGAAAAGAAATTATGCAACAGAAGAAAAGAAATGATGCAACAGACGAAAAGGCATGATGCAACAGACGAAAAGAAATTATGCAACAGACGAAAAGACATGATGCAACGGACGAAAAGAAATGATGCAAGGAGGCAGCAGGAGAAGTTTATATTTTGAGGCACCTCAACTCAAACAACGGAAGAAAGCACGAGGGATGGCAGTCCAGGAACAGGCGAAAATAAATTATGCCAAGGCAAGAGGACGGCAGGAGTTGAACGGACGAGAAGACGCGGAGAAGATGAGCAGCCGACCTGCCAGATGTGGATGGGGAAGTCGCAGTGCTTAAGGTCGTTCAGGGAGAACCCCCATGGCACAGCGGGCAGCAGCAGATCCTCCACCACCGCCTGCAGGTTGCCTTGATACAGCGCGTGCTGGCAGGTAGCTGGGAGGGTGAGAGAACACGAGCAGGGGGATACAGAGACAAGCGAAGAAATAGGGAGGTGAGCAGGGAGAGGAGTGAAGAACCGAGGGCAAGAGAAAACGCTTGAAATGATGAATGAGAAGTGAGAACACAACGCGAGAAACATCAAGGGGAGGACGGGAGGTGGGGGAGGGGAGGAAAGGAGGGAGGTAGAGAAGAGAATAACAGGAAGAGAGAAGAATCCACACCTGTGAGCATGTGAATGGTGTCAGGGTGGGAGAGTGCCTGTGCATCGGCCCACTGCACATAGGAGAGCAGCGCGTGCTGGATGGCAGAAGACGACAGAAGCACAGGCGCGAGAAGGCGAACGAGGGGGGGGGGAAGAGGAGCGGGAAGAGGAGGGGGACGACACGGGGAGGGATCCAGCGCAGGCATTCGAAGCGCAGGCGAGCAGCGAAGGGCAGGCCGGTCCAGAGGGAGAGAGAGAAGAGCGCCGCGTGCTTCCAAGCAGCCCACCGCTTGTGGATCGTGGAGAGAAAGGAGTTAGACGATGTTGAACTCTCCCTGCTCTCACGGCCCTTACTGCTCTCCTCCGTCTCTGCCTCACCCCACTCCATGGAGCCTTTTCTTCCCCTCTGCGTTTCGCCTTGCTCCTTCTCCCCTGCCTCTCCCACCACCCTAGTGCCTCTCCCCCCCCCTCCACTCTCTCCCCTGCCCCCCCCACCCCCACTCCCCGCTTCTTCCCCTCCCTCTTTCCCCCAACCATCGTGTCAACCAGATCCCACGGATTCACATCCCCAGCCCACAGCAGCACGCCAGCCAGGCGCTCAGGCAGGAACCTAGCCACTGCCAGGGCATGCGGACCCCCGCCAGAGTACCCGAGCACCCAGAATTTGGGGGGCAGGGAGAGCAGGGGCGCGAGGTGGAGCAGGTCCGCGGCAGATGAGTGCAGGTCCCAGCCGGGGAGGTAGTCAGACTGGCCGATTCCAGGCCGGTCGAACGAGACCACGCGGATTCTGCGGGCGCGGAGGAGAGACGGGCTGGAGGGGGGGCCGGGGGGGAATGGGGGGGAACGGGGGGAATGGGGGGAGGTGGGGAAGGAGGATAGCACGTGGGTTGGGGAGGTGGGTAAAGATTAGCGTGGATAGGGGGGATGTGAGTGAGCGCATGTGAATAAGAGTGTTTCACCAGAGATTGCTGATGGTGATGGCGAGGAGGGAAGGGGAAGAAACGAATAGGGTGTGTGAGCTGATGTGCTTGTGGTGTTACAGGTGCACATGAATTGTGGATATGCATGTGCATGTGCATGTGCATGTGCATGTATCATTCACAGCAGCACAGGGAGAGGCATACTCGACCATGGGGATGCCGACCAGGCGGCAGCTCGGCGTGCCATGCAGCACAAGAATAGTCTCGCGCGCATCACTGGCAGCTGCGCCCCACTCACACACCGCCACGTGGCGGCCATCTGGCAGCTCCACACGGCGCGCCGTGATGCGGAGAGGCGGGAGGGTGAGCGATGCGAGGGCAGAGAGGAACGCTGCAGGTGTGGGGATACAGATTCGGAGGTGGAGGGAGATGGGGATAGGGCAGGGGCGAGAGATCTATTTTTGAGGCGCCTCACACAGATTCCTCACAAAAATAGACTCCTCATACAGATTCGGAGGTGGAGAGAGATGGGGATGGGCAGGGAGGAGAGATGGAGGGAGGAGAGAGAGGTGGTCGTTACGTAGTGGGGAGACAGATTTAGAGTGCCTATTTAGAGTGGAAGTGTCGGAATCAGACGAACGAGGGAAGAGAATGAGCGGGCCATGCGACCCATACCATACCTGCAGCAGCAATCCAGCACAGGAGCACGGGAATCCCCAGCACCAGCACCACAGGCAGCAGCAGCAGCGCCAGTGCAGCCGAACCCACGGCCCAGGCAGGGCCAAAGGGGCTGGAGAGCGGCCAGTAGCATCCGAACTGCCACCCCTCCACCCACGCTGACGCCAATGCCCATGGCTCTGACCCTGACCCTGACGGGAGTGGCACCTCTCCCCCTGCTCCTGCTCCGGATGCCTTGACAGTGCCTTCCTGCCCTGCACGACAGCGGCCAGTAGTACCCTGCTGTGGCTTCGCTTCCTCCCCTGGGGAACTGGGCGAGTGGGACAGGGGCAGGGAGAGGGAGAGCAGAAGCGGCAGCAGGGTGGTGTGCAGGGCGTGGCAGGCAGAGGTGTAGAGGCGATGGGCTAGAGACCAGGGGGGAGAGCCGAGGGGAAGAGGCAAGTGTGGGGGTGTGGGTGCTTCTGGCGCCACTGTCATTGGCTGCATGCCGCCCGGTGCTGCAGCTGAGCCGTCCTCGTAGTCGCTGCCTCCGTCATCGGTACCCGCAGCAGCAGCAGCAGCAGCAGAAGCAGCAGGAGCAGCAGCAGGCACCGCAGTGGAAGCAGGCACAGCAGCAGATGTATCACCACCACTACCAGCAGCAGCAGCAGCAGTGAGAGCAGCAGGCACAGCAGCAGTCACCGCAGCAGGCTCAGCAGCATCAACGGGCGCTGCGCGTGGCACTATCGGCCTTGCGCCCTCCCCCTCCGCTGGAAGCTCACTCAATTCCGCCTCTCCGCCCTCAACCACCTCCGCCACCTCCCCCAACTCGCTCCCGCGCCCCCTTCCGCCAGCAGGGGCACTCGCGGCAGCAACAGCAGTCGGGGGGAGGAGAGTGTCGCTGATACTAGCCCGCGGAGTGGCGGAGGTGGAAGCGGAGGCGGATGGGGAGGCGGAAGGGGAGGGAGGGGAGGAGGCGGATCTGAGGGAGGTCGTGTCTGAGCTGGCGACGGGCTGCTCCCAGAGGGACTCGAGCATGGATAGCACGTCCGGGGTGGTTGTAGTCTGCCCAGCGGTACTCCTGGGTGTAGTAACAGTCTGCCCCGCGGTGCTCCTCGGGGTGGCCCCTTGGGATTCCCGCTGGGTGCCGCCTCGGGAACTCCGCCCGGTAGTCCCTTCGGTGTCAGGCGCTTTGGTGGAGGACGAGGAGTCACGGCCAGGGGGCTGACGACTGGTGGTCCCCGTGGGATCCATAGCAGGCTTGGGATCCACAGAAGGCTTGGGATCCATAGTAGGCTTGGGATCTGTAATAGTGGAGGATTTGAGACCAGCGGTATCACTGGAGTTAGTAGCACTGGGATTAGTGGTGCTGGGATTAGTGGCACCAGGATTAGGGATGTCAGGATTAGTGTTGCTGGGATTAGTACTATTGGGATTGGCACGTGCACGGAAAAACATAGTAACGCCGAGAGAGTCCGCTGAATTCGAGCCAAATTCGGCTGGTCAAAGCAAGTCAACGCAACAAAACCACAAGAGGTGTGCAGAGTGGGACGCTACTATGAGATCCTCCTGTATTCTCTTCTCTCCGGCAGAACTGCGTACAAGGAGGGCTATTTCTGAGCCGACAAAAAAATCACCTGCAGAGCTGCGTACGAGGAGGGCTAGAGGGCTAGATCCTGGATGCCAGAGAAACAGGCACTGCTAGCATGACACAAAACGTCATTCAACTGCCAACTGTGTGACCTGATTCAAGGATAAATGAATCCGATAAGGACGACTCTGCAGGGAGCTGTAGTACGTCACGTTACGTCAGGGACGATTCTGAGCTGTCTCGACTCGATGCGAGGAGAAGCCAACGCCGGAGGGAGCGGAAAGCTGAAAGGTAGACATTCATACGGAGATCATCACAGTGACACCCAGGACATGCTGGACCAGAATTCCAGAATTCCAGAATTCCTTTCTGTGCGGTGTCAATGCCAAGTCGTGAAAATAACTGCTGGCAACGCAACAGTCGATCTTACGAGACGACGCGAGTGGTGGAGAGAATGCAGGGAGGAAGCTGTGCGATGCGATGTGAATCCCAAGGTCGCATCGCACGGCTGAAAGCGTGCATGGGATTCGGCCACCTCTGCAGTCAAGGCGTGCGATGAGATGATCGACAGCTGGCGAGGCGAATCGAGAGAGGGTAACCCGCAGAAGGTCGATACTCAGGACCAACGAGATGAACAAATACG